TCTGAATCACACTGAATATCACAACTAAGAAATTGAATTAAACCATTTATGTATCTGACATATATGATATGATTAATCTGAATTATGAAAATTTATTCCATTGCAATGTTAACAAAAAGCAATTTAAAGTTATTTTTGCACATCAATTACGCAAATACCTGAGCTCTCAAAGTTGAAAATTTCCACTTGTCACTGATAAGTTCATTGTCTAATAAAAATCTGAAAGCTATGAAATGAAAAGTATATTTCTAAGAGCAATGCATGAAATTTTAAAGAACCCACAGCCAATTTATAAACAAGAACCTTAAATTTACCAGCACATAAAACTTCAGCTACTCTTTTAAGTGATAAGATAATCACAAGGTATGGAGGGATTAATTCTTTTACTATTTTGCTTGATATAGATAACTCACCCTAAGTAGGCAATTACTTACATGGATATTTTTTTTTTAAAGATTTTATTTATTCATACAGAACTGGGGTACAGGCCAGAGATGCGGAGGGTGAGAGGATTCACCAGAGACAGAGCGGGGAGCAGAACAGGCAGATAAACTCAGTACACTGCTGAGGGGAGCAGCGGGTGGGTCAGGAGAGGTCTGCCACGCCATGTGGATCTCCTCTGGGGCAGGCGGGGATCAAACTCATGCGGAAATGGCTTAAGCTTCTTAGTGCAGTGCTTTAACCAGCTGCGCCACCAGGGAGGGCCTTACATGGATATTTTTAAGTAAAAATAGCAGCTGTCTCATGGGGATTACAACTGAGATGAAAAAATGCACAACATGAAGAATGATGCATAAAAAAAATTAAAAATAATAATAAAAATTTTTAAAAAAACATAGCAGCTGCCTTTGTTATTAGATTTTAGGAGTCATTACATTTGCTATATAGCCAGCTGCAGTAAAATTCAAAAGCTGCCAAATATATCTCTTTCATTTCTCTGAATTAACCTGCTTTTAAAAGTAAAGTGGGGCCCTCCCTGGTGGTGCAGCAGGTTAAAGCACAGCACTAAGAAGCTAAAAGCCACTTCAGCATGAGTTCGAACCCCGTCCCAGAGGTGATTCACATGGTGCAGCAGACCTCTCCTGACCCGCCCGCTGCACCCCTCAGTTGTGTATTTAGTCACTCAGTCTGTTCTGCTCCCCACTCTGTCTCTGGTGAATCCTCTCACTGGGCCTGTACCCCGGCTCTGTACGCATAAATACATCTTTTTTTTTTTTTTTTAAAAAGTAAAGTAAGTAACAAAACAATTTAAAATAAGTTACCAAGAGCAAATATGGAATTAAAAATTACTAATCTAGGTATCTACTGAAAGCAGCATTACTAATAGACACCTGGATGTAATACATTTTAATCAGGGAAATGAAATGTAAACCTTCCCATCGCAAAGATTACAGTATTTGCAATGTTTAAATTCTTATTTTCAGAATAGTGAGGTTGTTTCCTGGCTTTAGTTCTCACCAATAGCTCAGACAATAGGTAAGAAATGGCAAATGGGAGTGACAGGAGAGACTACCACACACAAAGACCAAAAGACATGTTCACAAGAGTTGGCCAGGATGGGAGAATAACCAGTATTTCCTCCCTATGGGATTAAAATAAGTGAGATAAGATCAGTGATGTTGTTCATGACCTGCAGAGGGAGTACTGTCTGATGGGAGAAAACTGGATTTCAAAAACTAGGATCTCCTAGATAAGAAGCGCAGGTGTTCAACAGGCACTGGGTGAAGAATTAAATCAGTTTCCTTTGGGCTTTCCATAGAGCTTTTAGACCTATTCCCTTTGACCTATATTCATCGAAGACATTAAATATAAAATCAGAAATATCATCTATGGCTTCTGCCTAGTAGGTCAATGACCCGTTGGCAGAGACTGCACTGATTGATTGGTGGGTAGGTAGGTACTTAACTCTCACTGTCATGTCCTGTCACTCAACATAGTTCCTCAGAACAAAAGTCTTTCTTTGCCACTCTCACAGTATCCTTAGCACTTCAATGCGATGAATGGTCACCCAAATAGTAGTATTCCTTCCCTTGTAGCAGTTCTCCAACTTGTATGAAGTCCATGGCACTGAGTAGTGTTATGTGGGGGGACCTAGCAGAAACCTTAACCACCATGAATCATTTCAAATTGGAATCTTTTGTTCTGTGTCTCCATGGCAGCCAGAAAACAAGCTCAGAAAAAGACTGGACATGCTAATAAGCAAACCAAATGCTTCAAAGCAGTATCATCAGTCCTCTCCAGCCTGCTTTTCCTGCTTCTATAGAGAGAGACCAGTCACCACCTTTCTATTTCAGTCACACTATGGTTCTGTGGGAACTGTCATTTTCCTTTACTGTGGTTTCCAGGGCCCTAAAATAACCTTCTCATTAGCTTCACTCAAGTTCATTGTTAACATAAATAGGCCAAAATAGGCAGCCATGTACAGGGCAATTTAAGGGAACATTATCAGCACTGCTCATCTATTTATGTTCTAAACAGAAATATTCAAAAGAGCATGACAAAAAGCCTTGGTTTTTCATATTATCAGGAAATATATCATGGATAATTTTTAACTTCCTGGAAACAAATTAAGATGGCTGATAACTTTTAATTTAGTTTAGGCTTGACTCTTTTTGTCACATCCAGGTGGCCACTAGCAGAAGCTTGAGTAATGTGGAAAATATGTCTGCGCAGCTGCTGGCAAAGAAGCAAAATTATACTTCCTCAGAAACAGTGTGACAGTTTCTGCAAAGGAATGCAATGTTGGCTGATTTGTAAGCAGAACTGCCACTGGTATGCACCCTCAAATCCAATCCCAACACTCCCTGGCCATAGCCCACTCTGGGACTGTGTGGCTGAAGCTAATAAAAATAAAATGATTCCACTGTGGATCAGGTGTGCTTATTTTCTGTCTTCTCTCCAGGACTCATGTTTAGGAGAAATAGCTCTAAAGGGATAGATAGCAAGTAATGCCAGAGGATAAGAGAAGTTACCAAAAGATGCCAGAGAATAACATAGGGAAGTATGCCCCCCTTCACTGTTTAGGTCAGCTAATAAGGGCTGTCTCATTAGCTGTTTCCACAGCTATATTCACTTCAAACTTTAGACTCGATTGTACAATAAAGTCATTTAAAAAAGTTGTTAACTATAAGTAGGACTACAATTTTCACTGAGGACAAATGCAAACATTTTTCTCTGGGGAATTTTAAGAAGGCTGATTAATTTGGAAATAAAAATTGTCTCACAGACTGGGCAAATACTTTCTGTAAAGGACCAAACAGTAAATAATTTTGGGGGGCTATATAGTTGCAACTATTCAACTCTAGCTAGAGCTCAAATGTAGTCATGGATAATATGTAAACAAATGAGTGTATCTGTGTTCCAGTAACCGTTTGCTTAAAAAAACAGGCAGTGGCTAGATTTGGCATGGCCAGAGTTTGTTGACAATTGCTTTACAGGTACACTGACATTGCTATCAAAGTGGTTAAGTCACAATGATCACCAGAATCAAGTTGTTCTGGCAAAACTAATCTATGGTATAAGAAGACACAGTAGTGGTTGTGCTTTGTGGGATATGGGGGATTCAGGAAAATACTATATTTGAAACAGAGCATGAAGAAGCTTCTGGGTTACTGGTAATATTGTTTCTTGATGTGGGTGTTAGGGAATTTTATTGCATTTTGTGAGAATTGATTTACGAGTTGTGTGAATGCTACTTCAATAAACTATTCTTTAACTAACAAACAACAAACAAACAAAAAACAACCAAGCTGCTTTAAAGGACAAATCATTAAAAAAAAAAAATCAGGTAGAAAAGCCTATGTAGAATATAGGGGTTGGGCAAAGTGTTTGTGGGTTTCCAGCTATGCAGAAAGAAGAACATAGTTCAATTTTCATTTTTTTTTTTTAGTGTGCTCTTAAAAAAACATTAGTAGTAATAAAACAAAACATGTTACATAAAATGTACCATCTTAACTATTTTAAGTGTATAGTCTAATTGTATTAAATATATTCATAATATCGTGAAAACATATGTCCAGGACTTTTTCATCTTGCAAATCTGAAACTTTAAACAATAAACAACAACCCTGTTTTTTTTTTTCCTCGCCTCTCAGCCCTGCAACCACTACTCTACTTTCTGTTTCTATGAACCTGATTTCTTTAGATACTTCATGTAAGGAGAATCATACAGTATTGCCTGATTCAATTAGTTAGCATAAAGTGCTCAAAGTTCATCCTGGTTAGAGAACCACTGTATGTATAGCCATATTTTACTGTTCCACTTATCTGTCAAGGAACATTCTTCCTCCTACTGCCTATTGTGAATAGTGTTGTTATGAACATGAATGTGCAAATAGCTCTTCAAGACTCTGTTTTCAATTTTTTTGGCTATAGATCCAAATGGGATTGCTAGATAATAATCTAGTTCCATTGTTAATTTTTTTGAGTACTTCCACCTTGTTTTCTATACAGGTCATACCATTTTACAAGTCTGCCATTTTCCACCTCCTCACCAACACTTGCAGTTTTCTTGTTTTGTGGTTAGGCCAACTTTTTTGTGGTTAGGCCTTATTCCAATTAAACTCTAAACATAAAAATATCCAAGAAAAATTCATTAACTTTATATTTCAAACTTTGTGTTTATCCTAAAAGACCAGTGACATTTTGATATGACTTCCCCATCTTCCAAGTTTTTGAATTTATTGAACATGCCTATCAAGTGCACAGATACATGATTGTACAGCAAGAAAGAATTTTAAAGTTATATGTTCATGTCCTGTTTGAAAAATGACCTGTGTGTATTTCCCAGAAAAGGCAGTATATGATGATCGAAAGAGTAGGTATAGGGTGAATATATAATGTATTTCATTTTGATCCCACTACATATCTATATAGGTAGAGACTAAAGCTCTCCAAAAACAATGAAACAATTAGGAGAAAAAGAGAGTGAGGTCTAAACTGAAATCAGCAGATGGTAAGACAAAAGTTGGGCTCCAAAGGCTACCACATAGTGTGTCTACCTTGTTCTTCCAAAAGGACTCGTACAGCTGAATTTTCCTCTACTTTTTTTCTGGCTGCCTCTTCTTCTTCTTTTGACCACTGCATATGATCCCTATCAAAAAAATAAAAATACTGTACAATGCTTTACCATTAAAGAGGAAAGACGCAATCAAAGGACGCAGCTTTGATTCTAGACTAGCCAATGATACATAATAAATGATACATATTAATTAATGGTACATACATAAATGATACATATTACTTCCATGTCAAAAGATTATTTCATGTCACATGTTCCTTCTGATAATACTGGTCCAATCCTGGAACTCTGAATCTTGGAACTCCTACCATTCTCTTGCTTAATAGTGCAACCATTCTCTGGTTATAGTGTAAGCTGCACCCACCTTTTGAAAATAGCTGCTGAATAATGCCCCAGGAACACTAGGTACCTGATTATCTGGGTGCTGGCATGGCATGCTGTTTACTCTAAAGCTAAATTTATTTTTCATTTGTTAATTTATGAACAAAGTATTCTTCCTGGTGGTGCAGGGGTTAAAGTCTCAGTACTACTAAACTATTGCCAGCCACTAGGGCATGCCTATGGTCCCCAGCCAGGGAATTACTCTACATGTCAAAGCAGATCTCTCCTGTCTGGCCCACTGCTCCTCTCAGCAATGTATTTCAATGGATCCATCTGTTCTGCTTCCCACTCAAACTCTACTGAATCCTCTCTCACACACACTCTCACCTCTGCACCTCTGGCTGACACCCCAGTTCTTACATACATAAATAAAATTAAACCTTTATATACTGTTGCAGGGGTAATGAGTTGTAGGAGTTAGTGAGTTCTGGGACAAAGGTACTGGCAATGGAAAACATAAAGGAAGATAAAAGAAGGGGAAGCACTATGAAAAAAACTGAAGCTATGACTTGGGAGATGAAGGTGGGAAAGAAAAATAATTACAAGATCTCAAAACTATTGAGGAAGAAGGTAGTAACAATTACTAAATAAGTAGCTGCTTTGGTGGAACTATTGGTACTATTTTAAGTTCTGTTGATGCAATCAGATATGAAAGTGTATATTCCAGTGACCTGGCTATAAATACACCACTGAAAGGTGAGAAACTGCTTTGTATTAAGTATTAAAACTGGTATAATGAAATCCCCAGAGAAGTAAATGATATGCAAAAATCAGAGTATCACAGATGAAAATTTAACCAGTATTATTTCAAATAAAACCCAATCATCTACAATCCAAATACTAATTAAGCAGTTATATCATTTCTATTAATGAAAGAGGTTACAACAGATTACTGTTTTTAAGTATTTTATAACTTGGAATTGCCAAATATACTTTATATTCTATACATATCAATATATAAAATATTATTTATTACATAAGTTTTATTAAAGGCAACAAGTTATTTACAAAACAGTATTAAGACTGAAGACAAGTTTCTCATCTGAATTTCTACAACATATAAAAAAAATCCATTTCCTTGTAAAGAATCAAGCTATGAAACAATGAGAGTAACTTCAGCTTTAAGAATTTTTTTTTTAAGAGATTTATTTACTTATGCATACAAGACCTGGGGTATAGGCCAGAGGTTCAGGGAGAGAAAGGATTCACCAAAGACAGAGTGGGGAACAGAACAGGCTGATGGACTGAAATACACTGCTGAGGGGAGCAGCAGGTGAGACAGGAGAGGTCTGCCACACCATGTGGGTCCCCTCCCTGGATGGGGATCGAATTTGTGCTACAGTGGCTGTGGCTAGCCTCATAGTGCTGTTGCACCACCAGGGAGGGCCCTAAGCATTTATTTTAAACTTTAGTTTAACTTGCTTATTTCAGAGTAGTTCATAGATTTATTTCTTAAATTGCTTTAACTTCCTTATACCGTTCTTTATGTTGCTTCATTTTCTAAACTACTAAGGGAGGGAAATGCTATGCCCTAAACCTCTGCAGTAAAGATTTTTCCATTGTACAATTACAGAATCCCCACAGAAACCTATAAAATGTTCCTACTGTATTTATGGGAACTTCCGCCGACCTGCTGCTTTATGGCTGTTCTTTATATTAAGAGTCTGATTCACATATACCCTACCTAAAAGACAGCAACAAGAATCACGCAAATTTATAAATATTACATTATAATAAAATTTAACCATAAAGACAAATAACTAGCAAACTAAAAATAATCAAGTATTTAACAAGAACTACCACTAAAGGAAAACAGTTTGTACTGTTCGACTTATGAATTGTACTTCTGAGAACTTATTCTAACAAAGTAACTCAAAAGAACAGAGTTCTATACAGAAAAATATCTATATACAAATATTCACTGGAATATCAAATATAATAACAGACAATTGGAAACTATCTCAGCAAGAGGAATGAAAACATTATGGTAACTCAATGAAATATTTTGTAGGCATTTATATAATAAACATGAAGGCTATGTAACAACAAAGTCATGTGTTTATGTAAAATAACATGAGGTTAAGAAAACAGACCCCAAAATTGTATATGTTTTGCAACAACTATATAAAATTACATATACATTGTGTGAGATAAAAACAATTGTTAGAATTAAGAGAAAATGCTTAACTCTCCTTAATATTGTGAAACTGCTTCACCTGAAGATAATTCTTTTAAAACTGTATTTACACAAGTCTATATTGTATGTTTAAGACATATAACAATGGTCACTAAAACTTTGTATCATTTTTTGTGGGAGGAGAGAACCCGGAAATTTTAACAAGAAGGAAGATGTTTTCTAAAATGAGAGTTGAACAGAAAATAGAAACAATATTTTTTCTGAAAACTTGCATTTGAAAAAAAAATCTCAAAAATAAAAGATAAGATTTTGAGTACGAAGGTTTCACAAAATGGCTGGTAAATCTTTGCAATAATCTTAAATCCTATTATCTCAATTTGTGTATTTCCTATCCCTTTCAAATCTAGATGGCAACTGAATGATGATTCCATTTTAAGTTGATGTTGATAAGCTTAAAAGTCTCAATAATTAAGCATTTGGTTTGGTTTGGAAAAGTTAAAACACACACACACACCCCTAGTAATTGTTCAGCTTGGGCTGATATTTTTGAGGCTCCTACCTAATGAAAATTCTTTTGAATATAATGCCATTTCCTAGTACAATTTTTAATTTTTACCAATTGTATATAGCAAGCTATGTGGTTGAAATGTTTTCCTCTTTGTCACTTACTGTATATATAAGTCTCATTATAGAACAAATTTAAAGAAAATTTAACAAAAGCATAGGTAACTAGTAAATTAAAAATACTCTTAGGTAAAAGGAAAAGGGTGTTTCTGCTTAAAACTATGTCAGTAAACCTTAATTCATAATAAGGTCACGTTATAACAACAGAAAAATTTAAAGAGAAAGTCTTAACTTTTATTTACATATCACAATAGATATTAATTTTTCAAGTTTTCTTTCTGTACTTGTGTATATGTACACTAACGTAAGCATCTTTTTTTATAGCTACAAAATCTTCATGACTTTAAAAAGCTATACAGGATTTGTGATTTTGGGCCATGACACAATATCTGGAAATAAGTGGATACTCTACTATTCTGTCATAAATAATGATAAAATGTATAAAGCAACTGTTTTTAGGCATTTTGAAACTGTGCTTCAGATAACACAGGATTGTGATCCTTCAGAGAAGAGAAACACAAAAGGATCCCACATACACCTTGGCTTTCTCTCTAGTGACATATTTAGTGTGGTGTAGAGGAATTGGGGACATAAGAGATGAAAAAGATTTGGTAGAATTTGATTATTAAAGAATAAAGATAGTAAGATGGGGATAGGTGAATGAGACACATTCTTTTAAAAAAAATCCAAACAATACTAATGCATATAAAATATAGTCTTTTATATTTTATCTTAGCTCTCATTCCTATGCCCATCCTTGGATAAACACTAATTAGTATGATGTGAACTTTTCCAGAATTTCTTCTATGTATACAGAAACAAAGGTATGCATAGACATGTAACACATGTACAAGAATTCATCAGTAAAAATGAGGCCATACTAGAGATAGCTTTTGGCAGCTTGCTCTTTTTGTTTAATGACATATCATAATCATCTGATTATCAGTATACATAGTTCTCTCTTATTTTCAGTAACTGTTGCATTGCTCCAAGGTATGAATGTATCCATATGTTTTAATAGTATGATTGAGGTGTAACTAATATACAGTGCTTTTTGGGGGAGGGGAGGCTGAATAGAACACAGTACATTTTTAAAGTGTGTAACTGGTAAGTTTTTACACATGTAGAAATTCATGAGGCCATCACCATAATCAAGATAATGAACATATTCATCACCATCAAGTTTCTTTGTACTCTTTATAATTCTTCTATTTCCTCCCTCTTTGCCACCTCCCCTCTGCCGCCAACCTATTGGCAGCCACTGATCTTGTCTGTCTCCTTAGGTAAGTTTGCATTTTCTAGAACTGTACATTAAGAGTACAGCATAGGCAGGCCCTCCCTGGTGGTGCAATGGGTTAGGACTTAGCACTGCAAGCCAGCTGCACCTGCTTCAGTGCGAGTTCAATCCCAGGCCCTGGAGGTGACCCACATGGCTCTACAGACCTCTCTTGACCTGCCCGCAGCTTCCTTCAGCAGTGTACTTCTTCGATCTGCCTGTTCTGCTCCCCACTCTATCTCTGGTGAATCCTCTCACCTCTGACCTGTACCCCAGTTCTGTACACATAAATAAGTAAATCTTAAAAAAAAAAAAAAAAGAGTACAGCATATGCTTTTATTTTTTTCTTTCAGCACAATTTCTCAAAATTCTTCTATGTTATTGTTTGTATTAACAGTTCATTATTCTATAATTAAGTAGTATTCCAGCACACACACACACACATACACACACACATACATGTATACACACACACATACACAACATAGTTTATTTATCCTTTTACTTATTGGAGAACACCTGTGCTTCTTACAAATTTGTCTATTACAAACAAAGCTTCTATGAACAATCAGGTATGAGTATGTGCATGGACATATGCTTTCTTTTCTCTTGGGTAAATATTTAGGAATATAATCAGTTGAATCATGTAATAGG